GAGGGCAAGTGAACGAGGGCAAGTTGAACGACTAATGAAACGCAGCCACTCTCTACCTCCTGAGACACAGCCACCCAATCAACTTCCAGCTGTCAGAAATCGTAAGTTCATGCTGATGAACGTTAGAGAAAAGAAACGGCACTGACCTGAAATAAATATCAACTTATCAATACGATAATCAATAACAGATCAACAGCTGATCTGATTAATATTTCTGCTCACTGACTAACAGCACATTATATTTACACTCTGTTAAATCCACTTCCTACATTCACAGTAACAGACAGCTGATGAAAGGTCAGAGGTCACAGAGACAGCCTGTTGTTATTTTACATTATTAATCAGTCCCTGACTATATCCTGTTCTTCAGCCGCTACCGGCTACTAACTGAGATAATTCTATCTAACCATGTCCAGTCTGTAAATTAGGATGTTGGTTTACATGAGTCCTCCAGAGTCCTCCAGAGTCCTCCAATCAATTAAAAGAAAATACCGCAACGTAATCTGAGCACAGCTAACTGTTGGCTCCTCTTCACAAACACAACAAGCTCTGTTTTTCTGATTCTTCCATCAGGCTGTCTGTGCCCAGGACCGGCTCTCAGACCCCCTGAGCCTGATCCACATCCTGTGTCCAGCCTCCAGGGAGCTCCAGCGGCCCAGCGGGGCTCTGTCTCACATCCTTAACCCCTGGTACTCAGCTGGAGAACCAAAGAGAGGGAGGGACACTGTGGAGTTACTCTGAACTCTCAGTTCATCAGTGAGGTGGATTTGCAGACAGCCTCTGCATTGATCCGTGTTAAGTAGTTTATTAGAGACTATTCTGAACTGCTGTGGGTCACATCTGTCACCCGCGTCCAGGTGCACCCCCAACAGGGACTTATAGTGTCTTCCAGGACTAACACGGATGGTTGTGATGTTTTATCATTATTGCTGCTGCTCTACAGCGGACTGTATGTTCAGTATATTTCAGATTGATTTGATTGAACAGTAACTGTAAACAGTAAACACAATAACTGCAGGAAATTTGTAGAAAACCAGAGATTGGATTATTGATCATCAGAGATGAGTGATAATTATAATAATATGTTCAGATTGTACGTACACTTCCTCCTCACTGATACAGACGTACTGTGAGTACTTTAAAAGTTATCTTACGTCTCTTAAAATCAAGAAGGCCTTGTGGCCCCCCCCCCAGGAAGCTTTGGCGACCCCTAGAAGCTGCAGGTGACTCACCTGTCCAGCGGGTGGAGCTGCTCTGCAGTGTGGAGGAGGTGCTCAGGTGGTAGGAGAACCTCATGGTGCTGAACTGACTGGAGAAGGAGGGAGGAGGAGGGGGAGGGGGAGGAGGAGGGAGGCTTAACCCGAGCAGGGCACTGCGAGATTGGTTCAGATGCATCCCGACTCCTGCACAGGTACGTCAGCGCACACCTGGATGCAGGTTTCACTTCATCTTTTCTAAGTGAGACACTTATTTTGAAGGTTGCTCACTTCCTGTTTGTACAGAGTTCATCAGCAGGTCAAACTTTACAGAAACCTCTCAGCATCATTCTTCTTCTGCAGTTTAAAGAACCTCTCTCTTCCAGCTTCTCCTCTCTCAGCAACCGTCTCCTCTCCATCTCCTCCTCCTCCTGCGTCTCCTCACGCAACCCGGCCCTCCATCGCACCATCAATCGGCACAACTCGTGATCCTTCAGAAATAAAGACCTCAGATCAGCCGCTCACTGCTCCGAGGTCGGATCACAGAGAGAATGTGCAGACTCAGCTCCAGTTCAGAACTCCCTTTACTTTTCCTTCAACTTTACAG